TTCTTGGTAGGCTTCTTCAGAAGGGGTTTGCCGCTGCCATCTTCTGAGCATGAGACAGTGTGACTTATCTAAGTTTGTTGTGTGCCTTCAAGTTGTTTCCGTATTGTGGGGGTTTTTTTGGCAAGTTTCTTCAGAAGAGGTTTGCCATGGCCATCCCCTGAAGTTGAGAGAGTGTGACTTGCCCAAGTTTTCTTGTGTGTGTTGTGTCCCTTCAAGTTGTTTCCCTCTTATGGCCACTCTAAGGCAACCCTATCCTGGGGTTTTCTTGGTAAGGTTTGTTCAGAGAGGGTTTGCCATGGCCTTCCTCTGAGGCTGAGAGAGTGTGACTTGCCCAAAATCACCCAGTGGGTTTCATGGCCAAGCTGGGAATCGAACCCTAGTCTCCAGAGTCTTAGTCCAACACTACACTACACTGGCAGCTACAGTGTAGCAATAATGCAGTTTGACACCACTTTAATTCCCCTGGCTCCATTCTACAGAATCCTGGGATTTGTAGTGTTGTGAGTCACCCGCGCTCTATGGCAGAAGAGGGTAAGACCTTGTGAAACTGCAGATCCCAGGATTTCATCAGATGGAGCTATAACACTTAAAGTGATTTCAAACTGCATTCTTTCTACAGTGATGCATCTTTAGACTGGATACATATGGAGTCTAATGTACATTAATAATATGAAGAGAAATCTTGTAGCACCTTAGAGACAAACTGAAAGCAAGAAGTTGGCAGCATGAGCTTTCCTAGACTTAAATCTACTTCCTCAGATGCATTTCTTGTACATTAACAAAGTAGACACTGGCTCTCAACCCTTTCCTTAAAGGGGGAATTTTGCATACAGAAGAAAAGGAGAAACAGGTTTCTGGGGAAAAGGGAATGGGTTTGCAAAATGGTTCATGATAGTATTTATTGGCAGTGCCAGTACCTTCTGTCTTTCATTACCCTCTGAATGCAGGAAATATCATCTTCATTTTCACCAGGTGCCTTGTCTGATATTCTGGCTAAAGCTTATTTATTATTATTATTATTATTATTATTATTATTATTATTAGATATATTTATATATTTTTCTCTAAAGTTGGAACTCAAAGCGGCTTAGGATTTTCTTGGCAAGTTTCTTCAGAGATGGTTTGCCATTGCCATCCTCTGAGGCTGAGAGAGTGTGACTTACCCAAGGTCACCCAATGGGTTTTTATGCTGAAGCGGGAATTTGAACCCTGGTCTCCAGAATCGTACTCCAAACCACTACACCACGCTGGCCTTCAAGATGGCTAGGGCTGTTAAAAAATGCAGTCCAACAACATATGGAGGGCTGAACAATCTCCACCCTTGGATAACAAGTCACAAAATCTAGGAGCTGTAGTACAAAAAAAGTAACTTTTCCAAGCTCGGCTGCAATAAATATGTTAGTATTTTAAGGTGCCATGGTGCTCCTTGTTATTTTCACTGCAACAGACTAACACAGTGATTAGTTTGGAAATGTGTTGGAAAAAAAAAAGGAATGGGTGAAAAATGGCATCTGGATGTGTGATTTCACAGCTGGATTGTTAGCTAAGGACCATTGATTGCAATGAGGCTAACTTTTGCTTAAGGTTGTCATTATGGGGTTACTAGCTGCAGCTCTGGGTAGGGAGCCCCAATTAAATCAATGGCACATCAAAGCCTAAATCTTAAACACACACAGGGCCTTTGCAGACTGCTAGAAATAGTGCAAATTGAGTCCACTTTTAGGGTTAGGGTTAGGGTTAGGGAATCATGGGAACTGTATTTTATTGTGGCACCAGAGCTCTCTGACAGAGAAGGCTCAATGTCTCAGAAAAAAACACAATTCTCTTACTCTGTAGCAAGAGTAGGAATTGCGAAGTCCCTGGACTGCAACTCCCTGAATTCTTCATCATTACCTAGGTTGGCTAGGGCTGCTGGGAGCTGCAGTCCAGAATCTGGAGATCTACATAGTTCTCCCCCTGGTTGAACAGGGAATGTCTGTTCCTCCAAATCTTGTTGAACTGCGACTCCTGTTTTTCCTTCCATCCTGGCTGGGGCTGATGGGACTTGCAGCCCAACAAGATGTGGACAGCCACATCTTGCTGACCCCTGCTCAAAGGGAAAGTCTCACTGAGTTTATTTAGTTCTCAGAAGCCCTTATTCCTGCATGGAGTAACATCCTGCCAAAGATGTCACTTTTCTTTTAAAGAGTGAGCCAAAACCACCAGTGACTGGAATAGGTGCTAGTGCAAATTGAGTCCACTTTTAGGGTTAGGGTTAGTGCTAGGGAATCATGGGAATTGTTTTTCCCCCCCTGAGACATTGAGCCTTCTCTGTCAGAGAGCTCTGGTGCCACAATAAACTACACTTCCCATGATTCCCTAACCTTAACCCTAACCCTAAAAGTGGACTCAATTTGCACTATTTCTGGCAGTCTGCAACCCCTCTAAGTACATGTCAAAGGGCTGAATGTTTGATGTGACAATGAACAGGTTTCAGTAGCTGGCACAGCATACATGTGTTTGCTGTTTCTAAATGCTGAAAACTAGAGACTGTGGTTTTAGGTTTAGGATGCATATAGCATTTTGGATGCAGTAGTAGAATTACTAGTAAAGGATCGTCCCAGGCCCCAAGGTTTCTGGGCCCAAATCGGAGACCTAGAGATAACCCTTGGTGATGACCAAGTTTAATCCTGTTTTAAGGGGTTTGGGAGGGTAGGATTAGGGGATGAGGGAATGTTTTAATTCGTTGTTTATTTTAATGTTGTAACCCGCCTCGATTGTTGAGCAGAGGGGCGGGCTATAAAAAATTATTATTATTATTATTATTATTATTATTATTATTATTATTATTATTATGACATTAAGTTCTATGCATTAAGTACCAGCTGCAGTTGCTCACAGCTTGTCAATGAAACACATACACACACACACACAGAGAATATATTTTCCTATATGGAAATTAAAGGTAGAAATCTTAACGAATGGAGCTGTTCCCAGAACAAGGTGAAATGAAGTAGTAATTATTTTGTTTTACTTTAATTTGAGAGATGGAATATTGAACTAATTTAGCCAACTTGCTGTGGATACCTTGGATGGCTAAAAAGACAAACAAATGGGTCCCGGAAGAAATGAGATCTGAAGACTAAACTGAGGCTGTCATATTTTGGGCCCATCATAAGAAGAGATGACTCATTAGAAAAGGTGATAATGCTTGTAAAAATTGAAAGCAGTAGAAAGAGAGGAAGACCAAACACCAGATGGATAGACATAGAGGATGCAGGAACTGAGTAGCATAATTGAGGGCAGCGTGTCTTGGAGATGCCTCATCCACAGGGTTTCCAGAGGTCAAAGTCGACTTGAGGGCAGGCAACAACAAAAACAACTTGCTTCTAGCAGAGTGAAAGGTGAACCCCAATTCTATAA